TGGGCTGGCCCCATAAAAACGTGGTGAGGGAGCTGCTCCGGGAGCCAGACGGGGTCAGCTTAGTGCTGAAGAAGGTCCCAGTGCCGGAGACACCCTCACAGGTACCTGCTGCCCACCCCTGCCCCCAGTCTGCTTTCAGACCCCTGTCTGTCGCCAGCTCCATCACCTGTTTCTGATTATTCCTCAGACCCCTCCTCAGGCCCCAGGCCCCCCACGCCCAGTGAGCCCATCGCTGGCTTCGGCCCTGCCGTCTCCCAGGTGACAGGCTCGGGCCCCGGGTAGGTCTTGGCCCCAGGTAGGTCTTGGCAGGTGGGCCATGGCTCACCTCATCTCTCCCTGATCTCTCCAGGGCCCCATCGGAAGATGTCTTCACCTCCGACCTGACTTCAAACCCAAGTCCAGGACCCAGCCCTGCTGCCTGGACAGGTAATTTCAAAGCCCCACCAGTCAGCAGATGCCCTGGACAAGGCATGTGGGCTGCCTGACCCTGGACTCTTACACCCCCACCCTACCACTGGGCCCGGTTCTGAGCTCAGGGACACTCCCTCTCTCTCCTCCCTCCCTGACAGCCTCGACCTCCCTTGACCCGGAGCCCCTGCCTAGCCCCCATGCACCCTCAGCCACACTCCTAGCTGGGGTAGCAGATGCTCCAGAGCCCCCAGAACACCCTGACAAGGTAAGCTCTGGGGCTTAGCAAGGAGGGGTCTGTGGCTTTGTACCCATATGCTTCTCTAACCTCCTGTGGTCCTTTCAGAGTCCTGTCCCTGGCCGCAAGAAATCAAAAGGTATGAAATGCACCTGACGGGGTGCCCTTCAAGTCTTTACAGTGCTGGGCAAGCTCTTACAAGTCTTTACAGTGCTGGGCAAGACCCGCCCCCGCTACCAACACACACTTCACACACAGCCTCTCCTAGAAACAGCTCTGTTTCTGGGGTCAGACAGACCTATGCTCCCAGCCTGGGCCTCTCGCCAGCTCTGTGACTTTGGACAAACAGCTTGTCCTCTGATCTTCAGCTTCCCTGTCTCTAAAATGGGAAGAGTCATCCCCACCTCAGAAGTGACACGTGTCACATTCTGAGCCCAGAGCACGGGTTCAGAAATATCAGCTGGGGGTGCTCGTGGGGGGCAAGGGAGCAGGTTGGGGGTCCGGGACACCCCGCCAGCCCCTCACTGACCAGCCGCGCTATGCTGCTGCAGGCGTGGCGACGCAGCTGAGCCGCCGGCGGGTGTCCTGCCGGGAGCTGGGCCGGCCTGACTGTGACGGCTGGCTCCTGCTGCGCAAGGTGCCCGGGGGCTTCATGGGCCCGCGCTGGCGCCGCTGCTGGTTTGTGCTCAAGGGACACACGCTCTACTGGTACCGCCAGCCCCAGGTGAGACCCCATACACACACAGGTAAGCAAGTGAGTCACCTCAGGGCCTCGGCTCTTGTCCCTCCTCCACGGTCCACTCCCATGTGTGGTCACAGGTGTGCCCCAGTGTTCCTATGTGTAAAACGGGGACAGTCTTCAGAGAGAACTGAGCCGATGTGTGTATAAAAGCGGTCTGGAAAAGGTATCACAGGCCGGGTAGAATCTCTTTGATTCCACCCGCCTTTCCTTCCTCTTCTGTTAATCTGTTCATCCTAGCTATGGGCCGTTCAAGCAATTGTTTATTCATTCAACTAACATTCAAGATGCCTACTGTACACCCAGCTCTGGGCTGGGCCCTGGGACACAGGGAAGAATTGGACCGTTTCCGTTACTCAGGCCGGTGGGGAGAGGGATGAATACACACTCAGGGACAATATGGGAACGCATACTATGATGGCAGAAGAGCCAGGGGTGGGTGGGAACCCAGCAAAGGTGGCTAGTCCACCTGAAGAGTGGTGAAGGCTTCCTGAAAAATCAATGCCTGAGGGTTAGTCGGATGGAAAGGAGAAAGAAGGCCAGGCAGGGAAAGGAGCAAAGCAGCTTTGTCTGTGCCTGTGATGGAGCAAATGCAGGAGGGGGCTCCTCTTCCTTGACTGTTTCTCTGGATATCTTTGGCTCCCCTTGCCAGGCTCAGAGGCACCCCTTGGTCACACCTCCTGACCCCAGCCCAGCTTCCTGCCCTGAGCTCTGGGCACTGAGAGATGAGCGGTTAGAGAGCCCAGGAAATGCCCTCTCCCCTCCCCCACCCTCAGGAGCCTGACTGGGCCTTGAGGGTATTGGGGCTTCAAGCTGACCCTCACACTGTGATCTCCCCAGGATGAGAAGGCTGAGGGCCTCATCAATGTCTCCAACTACAGTCTGGAAAGTGGACAAGATCAGAAGAAAAAATAGTTAAGTCCTGAGGTGTGACAGGCTGGGGGTGGGGAGAGAAAGGGAGAGGTAGGTGACAGGAGGGGTGGGTGGGGGCGGCAGGTAGCTGGGATGCCCCGTCCAGCCTCTCTGTGTTCTGGATGGGCACCCCCAGGTGAGTGAGGCCCCTCTGCTCCCTGGCAGTGTGTTCCAGCTCACCCATAACGTGTACAAACCCTTCATCTTCGCTGCTGATACCCTGATGGACCTGAGCATGTGAGTGCCACCCCCTTCACCTCCACAGCTTGCATGGGCGTGCCCAGGGGTCTGGGCTCAGGAGCCTGGATTCAGAGCCCAGCTCTCTGACAGGGCTCATCAAGACACTCACTCCTCTAAGCCACAGTTTCATCTTCTCTAAAATGGACTAGTAAGAATTCCTATCTCTCAGAGTTGCTCTGAGGATTAAATTAGAAGATGATACAGGCGAAAGCCTCGGGCGTACAGTAAGTGGAAACTCCCTGAGACCCATCTGCCCCTCCACAGGTGGGTGCGCAATCTCATAACCTGCATTTCCAAGTACCGGTCTCCAGGCCGTGCCCCCTTGCCCCGAGAGGAAGGTGGGTGCCTCACAGGGCTGGGTCTCTCCCTGAGCCTCTGCCTTCCCTGGGATGGGGGCTGGGAGCTCAATTCCCCCGAGCCCACCTCCTGGCCTGCCCAAACCCTGTGAAGCTGAGTGGGTTCCCCAGCCACTCTTGTCCACCCCAGACTGCTACAGTGAGACGGAAGCAGAAGACCCCGACGATGAGGCTGGATCCTGCTCAGCCTCGGTGAGTGGGAGCTGGCGCGGGGTGAAGAGCAGGGCGTGGAACTCAGACTGATACCCTTCTCTCCTTCCACCCTGCCCCCAGCCCAGCCCGGCCCAAGCTGGGAGTTCCCTCCACGGAGACACATCACCTGTGGCCGCCCTCACGCAGGGCAGCCCACGGACCTCCTTCGGCTCTCCGACAGGTGCCAAGCCAAGCCGGGGGGGCGCGGGTGCTGGGAGCCGAGATGGAGGGCTGGGGGCAGGCACACGCTCACCCTGCTTCCCCTCCCACAGACAGCAGCGAAGGGGCCCTGGAAGGAATGGTACGGGGGCTGAGGCTGGGTGGCGTGTCCTTCCTGGGCAGGCCGCAGCCCCTCACTCACGAGCAATGGCGGAGCTCTTTCATGCGGCGCAACCGAGACCCCCAGCTGAATGAGCGAGCGCACCGCGTGCGGGCGCTGCAGAGCACGCTCAAGGTCGGCGGGCGCAGGGCACCATTAGGGGCTGGGCTCGGGGGCGGGCACAGGGCACCATTAAGGGCTGGGCTCGGGGCTTTCGGCTCGGTTCCTGGCCCTCAGCCCTGGGCTCTGCTGTGGACTGGGCTGAGTTCTAGGTTCCTGGAACCAGGCTCTCGATTTGAGGATGGGGGCCGGACCGGGCCAGGTGCTGGGTTCTAGGCCACTGGACTCCAGAGCTAGCTCTGGACTCGGGCTCTGCTCGCTCCCCGGGTGATCATGGCCCTAACCCCTACACCTCTTCCAGGCAAAGCTGCAGGAGCTGCAGGCCCTGGAGGAGGTGCTAGGCGACCCCGAGCTCACTGGGGAGAAATTCCGCAGGTGGAAGGAGCAGAACCAGGAGCTCTACTCAGAGGGCCTGGGGGCCTGCGGAGTGGAGCGGGCTGAGGGCAGCTCCCAAGTCCCGAACTCTGACTCCAGGGAACCGTCTTCCCACCCCCCACCCTCTCAGCCTGAGGAGCACTCCTGCCTCTGCCCCCTGACCCCAGAGAGTGACCTCTGACCTCCTGACTTCTAACTGGCCAGTACCCTAGTTTCTGACCTCTGGCCTTGAGGACCACCTCTGACACATCTAGGACAGAGCATCCCTGCATTCTGTTCCAGTTTGGAAGTAGTGCTTGTCCATGGTTCTGTCCCAAGCTGACTGCCTCTGCCTGAGCTGCTGCCATTTCTGCTCCTCCCTCCCCTGGAGTGGGGTGAAGTGAAGTGAGCTTTGTGCCAAGGAAGGAGCAAGAGGCGGGCCGAAAGAACTCTCTCCTACCCTGTGCTCTGTGGGGTCACAGACCTGCCCCCTCCGCCCCGCAGCACTTCGTTTGCCACGCCATTCTGTATGGGCGTTCTTCACTTTACCCAGGAGATGCTTTTCAACTAAATAAAGTCAGTTTCTTTAACAGAAATCTACATGTGCCTTTGACTTCTGTATTAGAATCTGGAATCTGTTTCCCGGAGGGGACTGGGATGAAAGCTGTCAGAGGTGGGGTGAGTGCTTTTGGTAACTAGCCCACTGTGTGGCCCACCAGCCTGGGCTCTGTACCTGAAGCCCCATGCCTTCCAGGGTGGTGGGGACTTCTACCCATGCCCATCTCTCCCCAGCCCTTCAGAGGCCGGAGTGCTCTCCTGCCCCATCTCCAGGGGCGAAAGGTGAAAAATAAGAGACCAGCCTTTCACTCTACAGCTGGAGAAACGTACCTTCCCTGGAAAGGCGGCCAGGGCTGCAGCCCTGGAGACTGGAGTGGTGGGATGGGGTAGCTGGTGGGCAGGGTTGCAGGCTGAGGTCTGCTAGGAGGAGGACCACAGAACGAAACACCTTTCTCCTCTTCTCTCCTTAGCCCAGTCCCACCTCCAGCTCCTAGATACAGAGCAGGGACCCGCCCCTGTGTCTCCATCCAGGCTGCACAGGAGACCTGACCTGCTCTTATCAGCCTCTGACCTCTGACCCCACCTAGCCCCTTGGTGTCCGTGGCCTCCTCTGTGGCATACTGAGGGGAGTCAGTGGGAAGAGCTTCTCTTGGTGTGAGAATTCCTTGGTGGAATGCGGACAGGTGGAGGTCACAGAAGCCTCTATGATATCACCGAAGGGGGGCAGGACAGCTTGGAATGAAGTTTCTTTGAGGAGTGGGAGGGACACTGAGCAACTATGGCGCATAACCAGAGGACCTGGTGGCAGCACTGGACTGACACCACCTATATCAATCCTTTGAACCGCATGGTAGGTGGTACCTGCCTGGCTGCACTGCCCAAGCTGGGCATCCTGGGGCGGGACGGGGCACTGGAGGACCATACTGAGTCCGGAGGGGCAGTGGCTGCACTGATGGGCCCTCTCCTCGCCCTTGCAGAGGGCCGCTCACGAGCCCTACCTCCGGCCAGAGGAGCAAGTGCTCGTCAACCGCCGAGATATCACTAGCAGTAAGGTAAGGCCGAGGCCGGGCCTGCAGCCTGTTGGGGGGTCTGCAGCAATCCTCACCCCCACAGTGACCCTTGTGCAGCTGTGTCTATGGGGCAACCGGCCCTCAGAATACCTCTGCCCCTTCTGCCTTCTAAATGTCCCAGCTGTGATCCCTGCAGTGACCGCCCCTGCCATGGTATGTTAGTAACCACCCGGCAGTGCCCCTACAGGAGCCCCTATATAATGACAGCCACTCCCCAGCAGAGACCCCAAAAGAGTCTCCCTTACAATGACCCCTACAAAGACCACCCAGCAGTGACCCGCTTTTAGTGGCCATTTAGGTAGTGACCTCTACATTGAGGCCCCCGTTCCATGATCCCTTCTCAGGCAACTTCTTTCCCAAGAGTGGCCCCCAAGGGTCCCTATTCACTGAGAGCAAACTTCCAGGCAGAGGCCTCCTACGGTGACACCTGCCTGAAGGAAGGTCCCCCACCCTCTCCCAGGATGCCTGGGACATGCAGGAGTTCATCACTCGCATGTATGTCAAGGAGCTGCTCCGACACCCGGCCTTCCACCTGCTGCTGGCCGTGCTGCTGGTGGTCAATGCCATCACCATTGCTCTCCGCACCAACTCCGTTCTTGACCAGGTAGGACTCCAGCCTGACCTCTGACCCACTGATCTAACAGGGGCCTGGGCAAGTCACTTCCCTCTCGGGGCCTCAGGCTCCTCATCTGTTCATGATGGTTGGATTGGATGCTCTTCAAGGGCCTGTCAGTGCTGACTTTCTTAAAGATCAAGGAAGACTTCGTGGTAGGGGGGACCCAGCTTTGAGAAAGGCATTGGATTTGCAAAGGAAGGACAACAGAAAAATGGTGTGAGCAGAGGCAGGCAAATGGGTGCCTTGTGGGGAAGGGTATCCCATTTTAATCAATAGCCACTAAGTGAGAATCACTCTGTGCCGGATACTGCACTCAGTGCCAGGTACGGACACAACAGACCCAGTTCTGTCTCAGATAGACAAGACATATCATTCCAAATGCCTGGGTGTCACAGAGTATGTGGAAGCTCAGAGGAGGCATTGACCCTAATCTGGGGGTCAGGGAAGGCTTCCTGGAGAAAAGGACATTTAAGCAGAGAGCAAAGAATGAATAGGAGTTGGCCAGGCAGAGAGAGGTGGAGAAGAGTGTCTTGGGCAGAACAAACAGCATGGAAGTGAGTTCTGTGTGTCCAGCTTGAAGTCTGCTATGGCTTGGGTCTTACCCTTGATGTTTTAATTTCTTACAAGGAGTCTACCACATACGTGGATTGTGCTATTGAAAATCAATATCTTTAAAATGTCCAGTGTGGTGACTGATGAGTTCAGAGGGGTGGTCAGCAGCCAGATCACACAGGGTCTCGTTAAAGAGGATGGGTTTTATCCTATGTCATTGGAAAGCCAAAGTTTATTTTATTTTACTTTACTTTTATTTTTTTAATTGAAGTATAGTTGATTAACAATGTTGAGTTAATTTCTGCTGTACAGCAAAGTGATTCAGTTATATATATATATATATATATATATATATATGTATATATATACATTTTTTTTTGCGGTACGCGGGCGTCTCACTGCTGTGGCCTTTCCCGCTGCGGAGCACAGGCTTCGGACGCGCAGGCCCAGCGGCCATGGCTCACGGACCCAGCCACTCCGCGGCATGTGGGATCTTCCCGGACTGGGGCACGAACCCACGTCCCCTGCATCGGCAGGCGGACTCCCAACCACTGCGCCACCAGGGAAGCCCTATACATTCTTTTTTTATATTCTTTTCCATTGTGGTTTATCATAGGATATTGACTGTGGTTTATCATAGGATATTGTATAGTTCCCTGTGCTATACAGTAGGACTTGTTGTTTATCCAGGAAAGCCAGGGTTTAAAGTATGGCAACATGAGAGTGACTGGCATCTAGGTGGATGGTTGCCGAAGCTCAAGGAATGGATGAGGTTGCCTGGAGAGAGTGTTGAGTGAGAAGAGGACCAAGACAGAGCTCTGAGGAGAGCCTCCAAGTAGAGGGCAGAAAATAGAGGAGGAGATGCCAAAGGATGCTGAGGGGGAGTGGCCAGAGGAGTGGGAGGAACCCCAGGAGAGCGCATTACCAAGGGAGCAGGCAAGGGTCAGATGTGGCTAGGAGACAAGGCAAGGAAAGGACTATGAAGCATCCCTTGTTTAGCTCTTGTGACCTTGACACAAGCTGCCTGGGATGTGGTGGAGGCAGAAACCCAATTGCCAAGGTTTGTAGAATGTGTAGACTACAGGGCAGATCAAAACCCATCAGTGGCTCATGAAACGAGTTCAGAGTGTAGAGAGCAGCATTTTGAAGTAGAATGAAATAAAATGAAAAAGAATGAAGTAGAAATTGTAGTGGGGGAGAGGGAGGGAGGGGAGGAGGGGAGAGGGAGAGAAAGCATTATGGTGTAAAATGTAAAATATATTTCTTTGAGTCCCAGTCAAAAATGCTAAAATCCCTGATATAGGATATGTGCCCATGAAGGTCAAATCCTAGAGACTTGTGAATGCCAGACTGGTTTTGAACCTCACCCTGCAGGCCATAGGGGGCCATGAAAGCTTTGTGGGTGGAGAAGGCAACTCTGATTTAGCCACAGATGTGCATGACTTGGAGAAGGCAGGGGGACTGTTGAGGAAGCTCTTTGAATAAATAGTAAGGAGAGCCTATTGCCACCAGTGGCCAGTGGGGTAGAGCTGAAGGGAAAGATGAAGGGAAAGAAAGCCCTTCCTTTTTGTAGGCAGATGTCCCTGGCCCATGATGCCCTTTGGGAATTTGGAACAGGCTGGAAGCCCATAAACTTTAGCTCCCATCTGAGTTTCAGAAGCTCTGCCCAGAGAATTTCCTGGTGGTCCAGTGGTTAGGACTCCGTGCTTCCACTGCAGGGGGCCTGGGTTCGATCCCTGGTCAGGGAACTAAGATCCCGCATGCTGCGTGGTGTGGCCAAAAAAAAAAAAAAAGAAGAAACTCTGCCCAGCCTCGCACTGGCTGGTGGATGGGGTTGGTGGCAAGGTGTGGGGAGCAAGAGGCTTGAAGCACTGAGTCTGTGGGTCATGGAGGTGAGGAAAGGGAGGAGTCCAGGTGACTTTGGTAACTGCCAGGGTGGAGTTGGGGGCTGGGAGCTGTTCATGTCCCAAACTATATCAGAGTCACAGCTTAACAGGAGATTGCGTGAACATGAGTTGGGTTTTAAACAGAACTCAAAGTCATGGATCCATCCATCAATCCGTCCACCCAGGAACATGTCTTGGACCCGTGAGTAGGGGGATACCCAGGAGCTTGGTCAGGCCTGGCTGGGGGGATTTGGGAGCTGGAGCAGCAGGAGTGGTTGGGACAATCAGAGAAGCAAGGATGGGGCTTGGTGTCCTCCATCTCAAGGGCCAGGTCTTTTCCTCCCAATCCTGGAGTCTGTTCTGCCTTTCTCCACCTCCCTTTTCCTACTCTAGAGGTTAAGAACAAGGGTTTGTAGTCAGACAACAGTCTTTATCATTAACTGTCTGACCTTGGGCACCTCTCTGAGGTTCCCATCAAGTGCAAGATGGAAATTAAACCTACTTCATAGGACGATGGTGATGGTAACATGAAATAATACATTTGTGGTCTTAGCACGGTGCCTAGCACGTACATGGAAGGGGTGCTCTAAAGGGAGCTACAAAGATGCTGATGAAGAGCAGTAAGAATCTGGGCTTCCCCTCCCCTGAAGACATGCTCTCTCCCTGGTCTTGCCACCCCCTACTCACCTCTCTGCCCTTCCTTTTCTCTATCTTCCATGTAGAAACACTATGAGTTGTTCTCTACCATAGATGACATTGTGCTGACTATCCTTATCTGTGAACTTCTCCTCGGCTGGTTAAATGGCTTCTGGATTTTCTGGAAGGTGAGATCCTGGGCCCTCCCTGCCATCACATCTATTCCTCCTTAGGGACAGCACCCCACCCCATCCCCATCCACCTGGCCCTGCAAGGTGCACAGGGGGAGGGGTGTGTGTGCATGTGTGTGCATGTGTGCTCATGCAGAAGGAGAAACTAACTACTTCTGAGATGTCTGTGATGTGGCAGAAAGTAATTTGTACTAGAAGTGCAGCCTCCCGGGGTTCCAGTTCCTGACCCAGCCTTCCCTAGTTCTGCAATCCTGGGCAAACCTTGATTTCCTTATCAGAGAAATACAGTTGAGAGTATCCACCTTAATTTACAGGGTTCAAGAACAGGGGTCAGTAAAGATTTTCTGTAAAGGGTGTTGACCTTAAGAATAAAACAGTTATTTTACCAGCAAAAAAGGGTTTATCTGGGAATAGCAGAGGAATCGCAAATCAGGACTAGCAAAAGACAGCATAAGCCATAGACTAGTCCAACAAACAATTGAGAGGAACGTTATTTTATAGAGAAAAAGGAGGAAGTTGGGAAGGGTTGTTTTGAACCAAAATCTACTGGTGAAAAGTGAGAGTTCAGGGTGATGATGGTCTCTCATTGGCTGAGTTGCTGGAATAGTTGATTTCTTGCAGGAGATGCAATGTACATCTTTTCCTGTTGGGGCCTGTAATTGATGATTCTTTCCCCTTTGGGATTTTTCTGTTCAAGTCTGTAATTGACAATTCTTCCTGTAATTGACATCTAGTGATACTGCCTGAGAGCTCCCCCTTTTGGCCTCCCAATTCCATTGTAGTGAGGTTTCCTTTTATTAATTTTCACAAGGGCCAGATAAATATTTTAAGCTTTGTGGACCATACAGTCTCTGTTGCAAACACTCACTTCTGCTGTGAGAGCACAAAAGCAGCCATAGACAGTACATAGACAAATGAGCATGGCTAGGTTCCAAATCAGTTTTATTTGTGAATACTAAAATTTGAACTTTATGTAATTTTCACATGTCACAAAACATAAAACCAAAAAAATATATATATATATAAACCATTCTAAACCTAAGGGTCTTTAAAAAGAGGGGCTGCTGGTCAATTTGGCCCTTGGGCTATAGTTTGCCTACCCCTCTTCTGGAGGGTATCAAAAAGCTGTCTGGGTGGGAACAGATCTTAACATTACATAAAATGAGACAAAGACTCAAATTCTTTGTTTCAATAGGACTTATAGAGTTAAGGGATTTCTGGAGTCAAGGGATTTATCTTGCCTTTGGGCATGTGCAAGAAGAGGCTTTAAAAAGAAACACCTATCAGATTTTTATACCTTTCATAAAAAGGAATCATTTAAATACCTTTACCAGGAAAACCAATTAGAATTACAAGCTTTCCAGGGGTTAGAGGTGTCACTTCATAGAACACAGAATGTAGAACCTAGAACAATATTTCTGAAGTCCAGATATTTTTTTTTAATACATTTATTTATTTATTGGCTGTGTTGGGTCTTCATTGCTGCACACGGGCTTTCTCTAGTTGCGGCGAGCAGGGACTACTCTTCGTTGCGATGCACAGGCTTCTCATTGCGGTGGCTCCTCTTGTTGCACAGCACGGGTTCTAGAGCACAGGCTCAGTAGTTGTGGTGAATAGGCTTCGTTGCTCCGCAGCATGTGGGATCTTCCCGGACCAGGGCTCGAACCCGTGTCCCCTGCATCGGCAGGCAGATTCTTAACCACTGTGCCACCAGGGAAGCCCCAGATGTCTTAAAGAATGCTTTGTGAAAACAACACTTGGGAGGATGTTTATTAACAGAAAATAGAATAGGATGGTGCATATTTACATGTCTCCACACTGGAGAGAATAGGTACCATGCTTTTTGTGAACATTTCAATGCACCACTTTTTCAGAACTAGCTCTAGGTTACAGGCAGACATCTGTTGCATGAGAGAGAACATTTCTTCCTTCCTGTAGACGTGAGATTTCTTTTGCTACCGGCCAGGGTTCTTGGCCTCCTTAATTAATAGAAACTGATCAGAGGCCAGACAAGAAATTCAGGCAAGGCTTTATTGGGGCCCCTGCTGCAGCAGCGGGGAGAGAGAACAAGTAACAAGTTCCCTTGTCCACTCTCTTCAGAGGGGGGATGAGCTTGTGGCTTGGGTGGTTTGCCCACCCCTTTGGTGATGTGTGCAAGGGGCATGCACAGTACCCTGCTTTTGATCCCAACCCCCTACCTTTGCTCCCTGCTCTTCAGAAGTGGCATTTGGACCTTTTGTATCTTTTTGTCCATAATTTGCCCCAGCTGCTGCTCATGCGTGCAGTTATTTTTAGTCCCTTATAGTTTCTTTGTATTTTGTTGCTCCAGGAGTCTTGTATCAGGTGCAGGCACTGCAGCCAAGGGTCCCAGGTCCCAGCCTGTCTCACTTTTAGCAGCAGTTAGGAAGGCCTGCACTTTCAAGGGGCCTGCACTTTCAAAGCTAAGCTCTGTTTCATTAACACAAGAGAACTGGAGCAAGCTTGAGAATCTTCTGTTCTTCCAAGCCACTCTGCTTGTCCTCTCAAGGGCAAGATTTCTCAGCCTCGGCACAGTTGACATGTTGGCCTGGATAATTCTTTGTTGTCGGGGGACTGTTCTGTGCATTGTTTAGCAGCATTCCTGGCCTCTACCCATTAGATGCCATTAGCACCCTCCTACCTGTGACAATCAAGGATGTCCCCAGACATTGCCAGATGTCCTCTGGAAGGCAAAACCACCCTCCAGAACTAATGGCTGAGAACTAATGTCCCAAACCCTAACATTCATCTGAGGCTAGCCTCCCAGGGCCAAAAGCCAGGGCTTGTTAGAGGCCCTCTGCTGTCTCCTTCCCCACCCCCAACCCCTCCCCTGGTCCCAGTGTACAAGGACTGCTCCCTGTTGAATGGGTAGATGGAAAGGGAGAATGCAGGGGAGGGAGGAAAGTCTGCAAGTTAATATCTCAAATATTACCCAGGCACGTGGGGCTCCCCAGAGTTTTGCCCCTAGTGCCCCCTTTTCCGTGGCCCTTGTGTGGCTCCTCCCTCTCCTTACCTCCATAGCCTATTAATTACTATTTCACCACCTAAATATTTCTCAGATTTCTTGCTGCCTCTGCATCTCTGCTATCCCTGTTCTAGCTCTTACCTTGTCTTCTCTCACCAGGATGTTGCTATGGCTTCCTGTGTACCCCACCTGCCATCAAAGTAATTTTCTGAAGGCCCAAGACAAAGTACCTTAAACTACTCCAGTGGCTCCCTATTGTTTCTAGGATCAGGGCTAAATGCCTCACTGTGCTTAAGGCCTTCCATGATGTGGCTCTTGCTTGCTTTTGCAGCCTCATCACTCCTGGCTTTACCCTTGGGTATTCCAGCTACATCAAGCTGCTTGTAGTGGCATTCCCCAACACACACTTTCAAGTGCATGCACACACACACACACACATACACACTGCTGTTTCTCACCTCATGCCCATGCTGACCCCTAGTCTATAAAATCTCTTTGCCACTTACTCACTTGCTTTCCTCCTACTTACAGCTTAAGACTCTTGCAGATGTTTTCTCTTCCAGGAAGTCTTCCTGTCTCTCCCAGGCTAGGTTAGTTGTTGCTCTGTCTCCCTAATGCTTTGTACTCACCTCTCACCTGGAGTTAAAACTTACTGTCTGGGGCTTCCCTGGTGGCGCAGTGGTTGAGAGTCCACCTGCCGATGCAGGGGACAGGGGTTCGTGCCCCAGTCCGGGAAGATCCCACATGCCGCGGAGCGGCTGGGCCCGTGAGCCATGGCCGCTGGGCCTGCGTGTCCAGAGCCTGTGCTCCGCAATGGGAGGGGCCACAACAGTGAGAGGCCCGCGTACCGCAAAAAAAAAAAAAAATTACTGTCTATCCACCTCCCTCAAAATAGTCTGTGAGCCAAGCAGGGCGAAATCCTGTATCTTCAGGATCTGATTTGAGGTGTGGCATATAGTAGGAGCTTAATACTGAATGGATAGAGGGATGGATCTGTAGACAGGCAGACTTGTGTCTCCTTGTGTATGTTTAGGCACCGACACTTTGAATGTGAAACACAAGGAGGGCTTGTGTTTATTGGACTGCCTAATAAATTTAAGAACTTTTTCTCCATTAAAAATCATTTTCTTTTTGAATATTTAATGCAGCTACATAGGGCTTCCCTGGTGGCGCAGTGGTTGAGAGTCTGCCTGCCAATGCAGGGGACATGGGTTCGAGCCCTGGTCTGGGAAGATCCCACATGCCGCGGAGCAACTAGGCCCGTGAGCCACAACTACTGAGCCTGCGCGTCTGGAGCTTGTGCTCCGCAACAAGAGAGCCCGTGATAGTGAGAGGCCCGCGCACCGCGATGAAGAGTGGCCCTGGCTTGCCACAACTAGAGAAAGCCCTCACACAGAAACAAAGACCCAACACAGCCATAAATAAATAAATAAATAAAATTAAAAACAAAAAAAAGTTCTCTTAATGCAGCTACATATTGGTCAAAACTGTATTGAGAGACTGTCATATAGAATGAAGTAAGTCAGAAAGAAAAAAACAAATATCATATATTAACACATATATGTGGAATCTAGAAAAATGGTATAAATGAACTTATTTGCAAAGCAGAAATAGAGTCATGGACGTAGAGAACAAACGAATGGATACCAAGGGGGGAAGCGGGGGTGGGATGGATTGGGAGATTGGGATTGACATATATACACTACTATGTATAAAACAGATAACTAATGAGAACAGACTGTATGGCACAGGGAACTCTACTCGGTGCTCTGTGGTGACCTAAACGGGAAGGAAATCCAAAGAAGAGGGGATATATGTGTACGTGTGGCTGATTCACTTTGCTGTACAGCAGAAACCAACACAATACTGGAAAGCGACTATACTACAATTAAAGAAAAAAAAAGACTGTACTGAAAGGCACACACAGAATTCTTGTTCCCACTCCTGACCTTTCTTCCCTTTCCCTCACCCCCACCCTCTTCAGATAATCTTCGTTATTTATAATCTCTTGTTTATCCTCCTAGTGTTTATTTTGCAATCATAAGCAAATATGTACATATTTTTAGTCTTCCCTTTCCTAACAGTAGCATACTGTAAACACTGTTCTGCACTTTCCTTTTTTGTCACTTAATGGATCTTTCTGTATCAGTACATGGAGACCTTTCTTATTATCCTATACTCCACTGAATGTGCAGTAGTTTATTCAACCAGTGTCCCAATTGCTGAACACTTTGGTTATTTTCAGCCTTCTACAAATGCCATTTTGTACTTGTACTAGAGTTTGTGTGGGTCGGATTTCGAGAAGTGGGATCACTGGTCAAAGGTAAATGCGGATTGTTTATTAGAGCAAATTCTCCTCTGTAGTGGTTGTGCTCAAATTTGTCATACACATGAGCTTCCTTCCTCCATCCCCATTCTAAAAGAGTTTGTGCCATATTGGACAAAGGGCTTGTAAAATGTGCCTTTCTTCTGCAGTGAGAGTTAGTTCACCTCTGACCTGGCTATTGAAGCACTGTTCCTTAATGTTTTAATCAGTATTTATTTTCATTTTATTGTTAATTGTAGTGTGTGTCACACAAAGCTGGAGCATCCAAACACTCTCAGGTCACCTAACTGCAGGGCAAGGCCATTGTCAGCAGCGCAGTAGCCAAGGTGGGCGCTCAGCTTAGGAACTGGCTGTGTATATATGAGAGACTCCACTGTGTGCTTCAGACACTGCACTTGGCTATTGACACATGTATGAGACAGCGAGCGCGTGCATGTTTTGTGGCGTGTTTGGGGCGACAGCAGGATGAGTAACAGCAGTGGATGGCAGATGACTGGCCCTGCTTCGAGAGGACCACTGAGTCCCCCATCCTTGGGGTGTACGGAGGGCAGACCCAGGATGAACCCATGGGCTGGGCCTGACAGACCCTGCTGGGGCTGGCCCACCCCCCAGGACGGCTGGAACATCCTCAACTTCCTTATCATCTTTATCTTGCTCCTGGGGTTCTTCGTTAATGAACTCAGTGCCATCTCTATCACCTACACCCTCAGGTAAGCTGGGAACTCTGAGAAAAGGAGGGACCTGTCTGGACCCTGGGAAAGAGAGGAAGGGGTTTTTACCAGGTGGGGATCAGCTCTGCCTTTCTGGGCAGGTGGGGGGATGGTGAGGAGGAGGGGTCTGGGAAGGGCCGAGGGGCACCCCTGAGAGGCTCTGCCACAGGGCACTTCGTCTGGTGCACGTGTGCATGGCAGTGGAGCCCCTGGCCCGGATCATCCGTGTCATCCTGCAGTCAGTGCCCGACATGGCCTACATCATGGCGCTCATCCTCTTCTTCATGCTGGTCAGTGCCCTCCCCTGCCCCCGGCTACTCCCCTTCCCTGAACAGGCCCCTAGGTCCCTGGGGATACAGGGTGTCTGGAGAAGAGGAGAGGCTATGGGCCTGAAGCCCTGTGACTCCCCTGGCAGCTCATTTGCATGGCCTGTCCCTAAGGCCCTCTGGTGAAGTCCGGGCGGGTCTCTGGTCTCTCTGGCAGGTGTTCTCAGTATTCGGGGTCACTCTCTTTGGTGCATTCGTGCCCATGCATTTCCAGAACATGCAGGTTGCCCTGTATACCCTCTTCATCTGCATCACCCAGGATGGCTGGGTGGACATCTACAGTAACTTTCAGTGAGTGCCCATGGGGCTTCCAGGGGAGGGGGGTGGGGCCCAGTCCAGGCAAGCTAGCCAGGGAGGGGCTGGGCTCCCAGGGGCAAAAAACTGACTGGGGAGGGAGAGGTGCTGCTCCAGGGCTTGGGATGAGGATGGCACAGCAGGAGGGGGATGCCTGGGGCTTTAAACTGGAGAAAAGCAGGCTCCCTGGAGCTGAGGGCTCTGGGTTTGTAGTCTACTTGAAGAGTCATTTCCAATGAAACTCCACCCATTCAAGGTCCCACTGCAGGCTATTCAGGGAGATTTCTCCCATTATGCTCAGCAGCTGGGCAGCTAGGCCTTGGGCAAGGGAGCAGGTCTGTGGTTGCATCTAGCGCTCCAAGGCAGCCTCCCAGCCCACACTGGAGCTCACCAAACTGCCTGCACTCCTGAGAACTTAGGGTCTCATTTATTCATTCTGAGACCCACTGCCCAGGGTCATTATTGGCCACAGATGGCTGCCTGGGTTCTGTTCTTTACCTCTTTCCCATTAAGCCTAAACTCTATTTGTTTCCAGTCCCCTCCAGGGAGTGGGTCCCCCTGACTGATTTTCTTTTTATCTCCTTCGTGTGAGAGTAGAAGCCCAGCTGGTAAAGGGGCTTCTGCACTCATTACCCATTATGATGTAGGCAGTAGAAAAATCATGGAGTGTGCAATAAAGGTGGCCTGGGGTTCTGAGTCTGCTCCACTGCACTAGCCATGCAGCCGTCTGAGCCTCCGTTTCCTCATCTGTCAACTGGGGATTAAAATACATTATTAACCATGTCATGGATTGCTGTGAGAATTAGTAGAGACTGGCACTGTGTGCATGCACATGCACACACACGCATAGCAGGAGAGAGAAAACTATTATTTGGGAAAATATTTTATGGGAGATTTATAATAGGTATTAACAGTAGGTGGGATTTTTTTCCTGTATATTTTCCTTCTGATCTTTTTACAATGAGCTTGAATTACTTTTTATAATAAGAACGACACGACTAAAGAATATAACCAATAGATTAAACTCGGTAATGCTGACGTACAAATCCCCACCTTGCAGGGCTGGCCTGAGGACCGCCCACTGTCTGGCAGTACAGCTGGCGCTCAGTAAAGAGCAGCTGCGGGAACAATTAGGAGTAAGGCATTAGAGCTCCACAACAGCAGTGAGGCAGCAGAAGTCCCAGCGGGCCTTGAGATAATTTCCCCATCTCATAGATGAGGAAACTGAGGCTCAAAGGGCCAGGGAGGTGATAGGGCCCCTGACTGCCATCTCCAGGATGGAGACAAGGGAGTACGCAGTGGAGATTGGGGGCGCCATCTACTTTGCCATCTTCATCACCATCAGTGCCTTCATTGGCATCAACCTGTTGGTCGTCGTGGTCACCACCAATCTGGAGCAAATGATAAAGGCAGGCGAACAGGGGCAACAGCATCAAATAGTCTTCAGTGAGGTGAGTGAGATGGGGAGGGCAGAGGGGGGTGAGGCAGAGTGTATATGAGTGCTGAATTGAGCGTGTGTGTTTGTGCGCGCACGCACACTCGAGGGCCTGAAGAAAGCCAAGCCTGAGATGCGGAGGCAGCATTGCCCACGGCCAACTCACCAACGGGGGCTTCTGAGGAGTGTGGAGTTCCTAGGTGTCTTGTTCTATGGCAACTAAAATCTAAGCAGCTGAGTGACCTTAGGGCGTTTAACCAATCTAAGCCTCAATTTCTTCTCCTGTAAAATGAAAATAATTATAGTACTTCATAGGGCTATTATGATAATTTCATGGGTAAACGAACAGTACTTGGCACATACTAAGAACTCAATAAATATTAGCTATAGTGTTATTCATTCAGGGGTAGAGCTTCCGAAAGGCTGGAGAGTGTAGGGTGGAGTATTGCCTAAAGTGTTGAGGGCTGTGGGCTGTGACTTGAGAGTAGATAGGGTTTCAGAAGTTTGCTGGGTAGGATTTATCAGGAGTGAAATGGTGGGGGAAGCACTAGGTTTTGAAAAGGGGTGAGAATTTCCAAAAAGGTGAGGGATGGGCTCGCGCATTTCAAGTTAAGCTCCCACAGCAAAGGAGAGAGCCTAAGATTGGTTAGAGCTGAAACAAGGGGCGTTAGAACCCTGGTGACCTGAGACTCATCCTCCCTGAAGCCAAGCAGGAAGGGGCAAGGGGAGGGGGTGCCGGCTGAGCTGTCCTTCCCTCTCCATTTCCCCCTCCCCAGACAGGCCGCGAGGAGGGAAATGGGAATAACGAGCTGCCGCTGGTGCACTGTGTGGTCGCCCGTTTGGAGACATCTGGCGTCCCCCAGGAGCCGTTTATGGGGGGCCTCCCGACGAACCTCTCAGAAAACACATTCGACAACTTCTGCTTGGTGCTCGAGGCAATACAGGAGAACCTGATGCAGTACAAGGAGATCCGAGATGAGCTCAACACGTAGGGCGGGTACTGGGGGTACCCTCGAGTCTCGTGAGTCAGGGCTGAGTGGAGCCTCAGATTCTTCTGGCCTCACGCCCTCACCATTTTTTTTCCTTTGCGGTACGCGGGCCTCTCACTGTTGCGGCCTCCCGTTGCGGAGCACAGGCTCCGGACGCGCAGGTTCAGCGGCCATGGCTCACGGGCCTAGCCGCTCCGTGGCATGTGGGATCTTCCCGGACCGGGGCACGAACCCGCGTCCCCTGCATCGGCAGGCGGACTCTCAACCACTGCGCCACCAGGGAAGCCCACGCCCTCACCATTTTATCATGCGGACCCTGGGGCCCAGAGAGGTTAAGTGAATTGTCCAGGTTTCCCCAGCCTGTCGGTGAGGGAACTGGAATCCAGACCTCCCGGTTCCTCGCATCTCACAAGAGCCTTAAGCCTCGGCCTGGGTCTCTCTCAGAGTAAAGGGAGAGGGCGAAGGGGGCTGGACACCAGGGAAAAGATGGGAGGGCAGCCTTCCAGCCCTCACCCTCGGAACGCACTCACCTCTCCACCCTCAGGATAGTGGACGAAGTACGCTCCATCCGCTTCAACCAGGAACAGGAGGAGGAGCTGATGCACAGGCACTTGTCGTGGAGCCCGTCGAGGGCAAGCGGGTCCTCCATAGCCACCCGTGAGATGACTTGCCAGCAAGACTTGATCACTGCGCTCGTCAACAGGGAAAAGGTGCAGCTTCCTTCCCCTACCCAATGGGTACTCAGCTCGCCACGCCACCCAGCTCAGCCTCAACCCCATTAGTCAAGGCCTCTGTCTATTCCAAGATCTGGTCCGCCCCCTAGACTCCCAAGCACCCCAGCAGTCACCGCCAATCTGGTTAGGTTCCAACTTTTCCTTCTTCGGGAGGCCCCGCCCCTCCCATAGGGCTCCAACCACTGAGCCATCTTGGTCTTCAGCACCGTCAAACCTACCCTTTCTTAGTGAGACTTGAGCGGTTCAGTTCCTGCTTAGTGGCAGATACTCAGGCCCACTGGGGGCATAGGACCCCCAGGTCCTGTCTAGGGTGCATAAGAGGAGCAGCCTCCTGAGGGAGGAAGATTCTATGGAGAAAAAGTCACACTCCCACATTATTTAGTTTCTTTCTGCTTCCCACACCATCAGACTGGGAACCTTGTGAATGTCCACGGCCTGAGCTCCCACAGTCGGAGAGCAGACTCGGCAGGCTAGAGTTAGACGTGAAGGACTTCCTGCCAGGCCTGGATGAACAGCTGTTGAGCTGAAGGAGGGGAGTAAGGGGGCATCTGCCATGTCAGGGTGGGGGCATTGACAAGAAGACCTCTTGGTTTGCAGGTTCAGGAATCCAACACAAATGTACTCCTTAACAAACACAAGTTGAGCCGCTGAGAGGGCAGGACGGTAGCCAACGGGCATGAGCACACACACCCAGCCACTGCATCTTCTGCGTCACTAGCATGACTTGGCACATCCTGGCCTGAACCCATCCTCTCCCTTACCCCCCGGGCAGATGCCTGGGGATGGAAGGGGGCAGCATCGCTAGGGCTTGTGCCTGGGAGCCCCAGGTCCAGAGGAGCCGGGATGGAGAAGGATGCTGGATGAGAGTGGGAGCCCTACCACAGGATGAGCACAGAAGGGGGTGCTGGCCAAGGCAGCCAGGATTTGCCCTAAGGATGGGCATCCCTGGTATCCTGCTAGACCAGAACTAGATGGAGTCTAAGTGGGCCCAAGCACCAAGAGAAGAAAGGTGAGGCCAGTGGGGCCAGGTATCTGTATCAGCAATAAACTTTTGTGTTGGGACCAATGTGTCTGACTGGTGGATCTCCAAACCCTTGAGGCAGCCTTGCCCCTCAAGAGCCTGTTTGTCCAATGGGAGAGTCACTGGCTGTCCTCCAGAGCTTCCAGTCTAATGGGAGAGAAAATCCACACCCTGAAAATTTTTGACTTAACGGTAGAGATGTAATCCCTGCCCTCAGGGTCCTAAATTCTGGGGGTGAAAATCTGGTCCTCACAGTTCCTCACAGTTGGGAGTGCCTCTCTTATGAAGGAGACGCCCTACCCTCTCTCTGTGTCTGAAGGTGTAGGAGACTGGTCCTCATTCTGGGGAGTTCTAGTCTGATGGGGTCACCATCGACCAAGTCATGCAGGTACAGGAAGCTCTATCCTGGATCAATGGAGAATGGCTGGGCGAAGTGTGGGTCCTGGCAGGCTCTCTGGGGAAGAAGAGCACTGAAGCTTCCTGGAAGGCATCAGGAGGAATTTGAGGGTCAGGTGGATGAAGTCCGGTGGAGAACTTGGGACCTGTGAGACCTCTTTGGGAGCTTCATACAAAGACCATCGAGAGCCACAGCATGTCCTGAGCTAGGCAATGCAGAGTCTGAGAAAGCTGTGGCAGTCGTGGGCACTATGAAGAGCTGCCTCGGTGGATTCTCATCCTTGGGCAAATCACTGGGCCTCATTTTCCCCATCTGTGCAATCGGGAGAGGATAAGATTGAGCACTAGCTCTAAAATCAAACGGCCAGCACTCAGCCCCAGAACTGGGAGACTGATGAGATCAGCTGTACGGTTGAGACTCAGGTTCCCTGATGTTGTGCGAAGGGAAGGCTGGAAGAGATGTTGCGTGAGAGTTCTGCCCAGCTGTTCAGCAAAGACTGACAACTAGGGGCCTTGGGGATATTCACCAGTTGGAATGGGAATCCCCAGAGGCCCACTGATTGCAGGTGACGGGAAACTCCACCCTTCATCCCCTCCCACTGGCATTGCTTCCAGCCCTGAAAAGCCCCCTGGGGCCTGCTGGGAAGAAGTCTGGACAACTGGGGCAGGGGTGGTGCACTCAGCAGGCAGGTGAGAGGTGGCACCCCAGCAGTGCTTCACTGTCTTGGAGTGCTATCTGTTCCCCTGTTTGGGCCAAGACTCCAGGACCATCAACCAGCAGAACGATGGGCAGCCAGTGGCTTTTGCTGCTTCTGCTGCTATTTATGGGGAATGGAGCCCTCAATCTGCCTGGTGAGTAGCCACATACACCCTTTCCATCCATCCTTCTCTGGGGGCTCTCACAGCCTTCTTCTGGCTCACCAGGGAGGGGAAGAAGGTGGTGGAAGATCAAGTAGTATCCCCAGGAAGATCTCATGTGAGCACAGCCATTCCCCAACCCACCTCTAAATTGTCTGAAAGGCTTGGGGCACCAATGAGCTCGGGGGAAGGAACATGATGGGATGACCTCCAAAGAGCTTCTGGCTTTGCCCATCCATCCTCATCCAGGATGCTGTATTTGTCTGTCTATTCCCTCCATTCTGTCTGTCATCTCAGCTGTCTCCCCTTTTCTGTCTGTCCTTTCCATCTGGGCTGGGCCAATAGCTTGGGGTTTCAGTAGGCTAGTTCCCTCTCAATCTGGCCCAGAACTGAGGGCCCAGGGGCTTGGACCCCTGCTGCCCTCCCCTGCCCTACTCCACCAAAGGTCAGCCGCCACCCCCAATGCCTCACTGAGTCCGATGGAGGAGTGCAGCCCTGGATCCTGAGCTCCTAGGACAATATAGGGGAACATGTTGGGAGGTGGCAGGAAATTGCATGTCTTAGCAATCCCATGAGTCATGACTTTTTCCAAGGCCAGGAGTATCCTTGGCAAAACACCCAGGAAGCAGATAGCAGTTTTGGTGAGAGGCACAGAAGGGGATAATTATTATCAATAGCAGTTTCTACTTATTGAGCACCTACTGTATGCTAAGTACTGTGCTAAGTGCTTTACATGCATTATCTCATTTAATCCTCATGACCACCAGTGAGGTAGGTATTGTTTTCACTGCGGTCTTACAGTTAAGGAAACCGAGACTCAGAGACATAAAGTGATTTGTCCCCTCATCAGAGCTGGGAGTCTGTCCCAGGTCTGACTTTAGAGTTCAGGCCACATTCCATTGCTTCTCAAAGGAGCTGCTGTCGGCAGGAAACTTCAATATCACATAAATGTCAGTTCTTACCAAATCTTTAATTGTGACACACTTCCAATCAAAATCCTAACAGGGTTTTTTGTAGAAGTTGATACGCGGATTCTAATACACATAAGGGAGAACAAAAGGCCAGCAACAGCCAAGATAACTTTGAAGAGCAAGATGGGAGACTCACTCTACCAGATACTAAGACTTACATTAAAGTAAGATCATGTGGTGGTGTTGCAACAATAGACAAGCAAACCAATGGAATAAAAGAGCAGGGAAATCAGTCTGGATGCGTAATAACAGGTAGCATCACAAATTGATCAGTGGGAAAAGGATGGATTTTTCCATAAGGGGGCAGGGACAACTGGTTAACCACATGGAAAAAACATAAAATCAGATCCAGTGGAAACATCTCTTCCCGCACATAAAAACTCGAGACTCCTGTAGCAAGACATCTGTTCATTTCAGCCTGGAATTTTGTTGCAAACAGACCCACGGATCACTAGAGTTTAGAGGACTCTTGCGATATTAAGCCCAAGTCCCTCACTGTGCTGAGGGGGATGTAGAAGCACTGAGAGTGGGGGGGGGGGTCTTCCCCAAGACTACACAGCAAGTCAGTAACAGAGCCAGGTCTAGAGCCTAGATCCCCCACTCTTTCCGTGCATCCTGGCCAGCACTCCTGCTCTATTGTGACCCCTTAGCTCTATTCAGGGCTAGAAGAAAGTGGGAGGTGGAAGGAGCAGATGCCAGATGGGGGCGGGGTCGGGGAGAAGGATCAGTGCCTCTTTGGAGCTAGGTTGTAGGAAGGACAAGCCCATCACCTCCAGTTTTCTGAATTAGTCCTTTGACAAAGACCAAGGTTGCAATGACAGGGCATCAGGTGATGTGCCTATTTCTGCCCATTGCCCAGGGGAAGAGGAAGGTTTTCAAGGGATCCAGCTCAGTGTAGCTGATTTGGGCCTTTTTCTCTAGAGAGAGTGGCTGGCTTGGACATGAGAATGAAGCAATGTCTTTGTGAGGCAGTGCAGCGTGGTAGGGAAGACATTGGGCTCTGGGATCTGATGGATCTGATTTCAAATCCAGTGCCACCACTTCCTGGCTGTGTGACCTTGAACAGATGCCTTCACCTCTCTGAGCCTCAGTTTCTTCATCTGATAAATAGAAATAATTTTCCTTACTTCAGGGTGGATGTGAGGATTCAGTGCACCAACACTTGCACATTGGAACAGCTCCTTACTCAGACAAGGTGAAAAACCAAAGGTTGTCAAAATTATCTTTGACTGCTATTGCACTAAATGAAGCACTTGGCTTTTGATTAGGGGTCACGTTGTAAAAAAAAAATTGTGTATCTTTAAATATTAGAATCATATTCAATGCAGTAGGAAACACATCAAAAAAGCCATCGAGAAATCAAAGATCAAGTGTGATAATAGATTTCCATCTTTTTCTGACTCTGTCTCTGTAATAATTCTTGAGTGGAATGAGACATAGTTGCCTGAATTAGTTAAATTCGCTCTCCCTGGCATGCATCAGCTGAGATCTATTAGCACAGAGCTGGCACATAAATGAATGCGCGCCAGTAATAATGTAGTTGGTGTTTTGTTTTTTGTTTTTGTTTTTGGCTGCGTTGGGTCTTTGTTGCTGTACGCAGGCTGTCTCTAATTGCAGTGAATGGGGGCTACTCTTCATTGTGGCGCACGGGCTTCTCATTGCAGTGGCTTCTCTTGTGGAGCACGGGCTCTAGACGCGCAGGCTTCAGCAGTTGTGGCACGTGGGTTCAGTAGTTGTGGCTCGCAGGCTCTAGAGCGCAGGCTCAGTAGTTGTGGCTCACAGGCTTAGTTGCTCCACATCATGTGGGATCTTCCCAGACCAGGGCTCAAACCCGTATCCCCTGCATTGGCAAGTGGTTTCTTAACCTCTGCATCACCAGGGAAGTCCCATGTAGTTGGTGTTGATATCATTTTTTTTAATCTTCCAATAAGGGTATTCGATAAATTGAGAACATCTGAAAAGAACTCTGGATTGGTGGAGGGAATGGGTATATAGGTTTCTTTTTGTTTGTTTAACAGGCATTATGACAACCTGGGGTCAGCTACAACATCTTCCACTAAAGACTCTGGAACTGTGGGAACTATAGAGTGTTCCTCCACAATTTCATCTCCATCCAACAGTGGGAGAGACAATGGCCCTGCAGTTCCACCTAACACCTCACCAACAACTGGCAGGACAGAACCATCTGAGTCCCAGCAGCATACACATCAGCTGCTCCGCCAGTTTCACTACCAGCCAGCAGCTCTGCTGGGTCCACTGAGCAGACAACCCCAGCACATGAGACTCAAGAGGAGAGATTAAATACAGTTATCACCACAACCTCTGAGGGCACAACGCTGCCAAATTCCATGGTGACTTCTACATTGAAGGACCAGGGAGGGACAACCAGAAGCACAGCCTCATCCAGCATGGCCACCTCAGCAAACCCCTCAAAACAGAACCAGTGTGCTCCAGCTGCAACCCCATTCGCATCAAGCTCCGGAGCCAATGGATTGGAGTCATCAGTGGTCGCTGACTCTCCAAAGGTCAGCCACGATCACAGCTCCAACGGCCTTAAACATACCAGGCAATGACGTCACATCATCGGGGTCCATGAGAACCACTGTCTCTGAGAAGTCAGCTGCAACGCTATCCCCCGCAACATTGAACGAAATCACTGATGTGAAAGAATCTTTACCTGTGACAAGCAGTGCAGTTATACCGCTTCGCTAACCATGACCACCTGGGGACAGACATGCCTGGCACTCAGGCAGGGGTAACTACCGCTGCACCCCCAACCCCAATAACAGCCCCCACGATGAGCATGCTGTCCAGAAGACATCACAACACCATCACACAAGCACCTTCCCATCCAGTGGAATCAGCCCCCAGTGCTGGCACTGCAATGGCCCAGTCACCTGAGACAACAGCTGCTCATTCAACAACCCTTATTCCCAGCTCCTCGGGAATGACAAAATCTGCTGCCAGCACTGGAGCCAGTCAAGCCTCCCCTAAACACACCAAGAACAGTAGTCCTGGAGCAGGAGTCTGTACTTCAGATGAATACCTGGCGGACAGGAGAGTTTGTATGTGCAATAACAGCTACTGTGCCCATCAGGTAAGTCTGAGGAACTCATGTCAGTACGGCGAAGAACTCTTCACAACTCTCTTCACATCTGAAGGCCCAGATGGACACATGTCCAAAGGGTGTGTGAGGGCCAGTGAGGTTTGGTCAGACATTGACATCTAAAGAGTCCATCTGGGCAGAGGTGATTTCTAGTGAGAGGAAAGGTAGCTGAGCATATGAATTTGTCTTAGTCAATTCAGGCTGCTATAACAAAATACCATGCACTGGGTGGCTTATGAACAGCAGAAACATTTCTCACATTTCTGGAGGCTGGAAGTTCAAGATCCAGGCACCGGTAGGTTTGCTATTAGGTGAGGGCCCACGTTCTGGTTCATAGAGAGCTGTCCTCTTGCTGTGTCCTCACATGATGGAAGGGCCAAGGGAGCTCTCTGGGGTCTCTTTTATAAGGGCACTAATCCCATTCTTAAGGGCTCCACCCTCATGACCTAATCACCTCCCAAAGGCCCCACCTCCTAATACTGTCACATTGGACATTAGGATTTAACATATGGATTTGGGGTGGGGGTGTGTGCAAATATTCAGTATATAGCAGAGGTAGAACGGACAATTCATCAACCCCCAGCCCCCAGGATTCTAATTACTGACTAGAGATTAAGCCTTCCTGGGGGGAGTAGATGATGATCCACCAAAGAAAAAGGCTGTAGCCCCAACACAGGCCTGGAGGGCTAGACAGGGAAACGGAGGCAAAAATCTTGTTGAGGCAAGACCAGTGTGGCTGGGTTCACAGGGTCTCCCTGTGTTAGTAGCAGTACAACTAACTCCCAGGCTCACCCTCTGGCAGGGCAGAAGCTGGGTCCTGGGAACCAAAAAAGATGATGGTGTCCCCCACACATATGCCTCCTACAGTTGAAATAAATCTAACCCCCCAAAAATTTCAAGTTAGCAAAATTCTGATTTTCCTAAAATGACTAGCCTGTTTGTTTTTTTTTTCTTCTTTTGGCTGTGTTGGGTCTTTGTTGCTGCATGGGTTTTCTCTAGTTGCAGCAAGCGGGGGCTACTCTTCGTTGCTGCGTGCAGGCTTCTCAATGCAGTAGCTTCTCTTGTTGCGGAGCACAGGCTTCACTACTTGTGGCTGGTGGGCTCTAGAGCACAGGCTCAGTAGTTGCGGCGCATGGGCTTAGTTGCTCTGTGGCATGTGGGATCTTCCTGGACCAGGGATCGAACCTGTCTCCCCTGCATTGGCAGGCGGATTCTTAACCACTGCACCACTAGGGAAGTCCTACCCTGCTTTTTAAAATATCAAATTTCTTCAAAAAATATTTCCTTGGCATTCCTGCTTTGGTCTGTTGGATAATCCAGCCTTAGGATGAAGCTCCTATTACATTTAAAACTAGGCGGTGCTTAACTTATGGGCCAGTATTTTCCAAAATGTATTTTGTGGGACACCAATGCTATGGGATTTCAATAGACATTACACTAAAACAAAAGGGTTGTATTGTCAAGTATATTTTGGAAATACTGGATTAAACAAAACTGTTTTTTGACTGCAGGACTTTTCAGAGCCTTTAATATTTAGTATTCCACTGTTCACTGTGACTCCTTTCAAAGTCAGATTTTTAAAACAGATTATGGCATGCATTTTCCAAGAGTGTCCCCAGAAACCTCATTCTTAGGGACATTTAAGCAGTACCTTGGAATATACCCTGTTGCCAACGAGGGAGTTCAGATGAAGTTGAGCAGGCTGGGCAAGGTAGAAGTGACCAGGATGACAAGTCTGACCCAGGGGGGCTTTAGTCAAACTCTGGCTCATTAGAGGTTTGTCCCCATCTCAACAAACTCTCCTGGGGAGACCAGGGTTATGTACCCACTTGTACAATGCAACATGTGTCTCTCCACAGAATATAGGAAGTATATCATTGTGTTTTCACACATTGAGAATGAGACACCTTTTCTTTTCGTGTTAACTTTCTTCCCTGTGAGTAAGAACATGCACTCTGCAAGATAGACTGTCTGGGTTTGAATCATGACTCATTTTCTTCTGCTGGAGATAATATGATCACATTAACTTCCGGGCATCAGTTTTTGAGTGTTAGCTATTACTGATATTATTATTTGGCATTCCATATCACAATATACTATTGATTGCAATAGCAGAAAGTTATGTGACTGACTTATACTGCTCCCCTTCCACCAACTCAGGTTGGTACAAAACATCTGCTCTTTTTTTTTTGGGGGGGGGAAACTTCCCCCACCAGGGATTGAACCCGGGCCACAGCAGTGAAAGCCTGGAATCCTAACCACTAGGCCACCAGGGAACTCCCAAAGCACCTGCTCTTATATTGCAGCCCATCCCTCTGACCAAACATGCCTTCCAAGATAGAATCAGTGAGCTTTTAAAAAAACGGAAAGGAAAACAAAATCTTTAAATTCAAAGTAATAAAACAAGTCCAGAAATATTTAGTATTTCCATAACATTTTACTTTTTAATGACTAACTATAAGCATTTCATCCCAAATGCAACAGCAAGTGTGGAAAGAGCAGACATAGAAAGAGGGAAGGGTTAAATATTGATATTAGCTTCTCCTTCATCACCCGAAACCACTGGTGCCTGACATGTATCAGGGCACCATGTGGTGCCAGGGGCAGAAAATCAACACTAACTGGCCTGAGGAAAATTAATTAATTTTAAAAATTGAAAATATTAAACAAAATAAAACAAAATTTGTTGCCTCATGAAACTAAGAAATCCTAAAAAGGACTTGAAGACTCTCCCTCATGGCTCTCAAAGGCAATCCCTCCCTCTCCTCCCTCAGTAATGTCTCTTTGGGAGTTCAGGCTTTTATAAGACAGAAAGAGCCATTGATTTCAGACAGTTTAGGTCCCTCAAAAACCCCTAAGGCCCAGGTTACCTGCTGGAATGAGAAGGAAATCAAAGAACAAAACAAATTAATATCTCCAAAAATAATCTGCCAGGCAAGTAACAGAAACCAATGGGGCTGGAGAAGGGGAAACAGGAGAACTTATTACAAGGGCATCTCATGGAGCCCAAGGGTAGCCTCCAACCAGGGTCTCCAGGGACTTGGAACCATGCATGTGGTGGAACCCAGGGCGTTGCCTCTCTCTTCTCTCAATCTTGCTTCTCCCCTTCTGCACCTGTACCTGCTTTGTTCCCTTCTCCACACACTGGCTTGTCCTGCCTCTCAGCCCACGTGGCAGAAAAGGGCTGCCTCACAACTCTCAAGCTTTATACCGCCTCCTTTCAGGCTCAGTTCCTGGGAAAGTGGTTCTGAGTGGATCAGCTAAGTCCAGGAATCAGGGCCCCCCAGTGCAATCATGGCAGAGGGGTCTCACCTCCTGCTGGGGAGAGTCTTCGTTTAAGCGAGTTGTTATGGGTTGGGCTAATATCCCCACAGTGTTTCCTCCACCCAGATTAGAATGCGTACCCTTGCCCATAGCGTCATCCCAGGAGCCTCAGGAGGGCTCTGCCCTGGCTCTTGTCCTCCTGCAGAACTATCCAGGGTGTTGGTGGCCCTGCGCTGCCAGCTGCAGGAAATTGAGGTGGTCCTGAGCAGCTGCTTCCTGAAGACTCGCCACTGGATCCTGGAAGAAGGTGCCTTTTCAGGATGCTCCAGTGTCAGTAAGACAGAGGAAGGTCTTAGTGTCCAAGTCTTCACAATGGAGAAGAAGGAGGGTACCTGTGGACTCCGCCTTTCTGTGAGCAATCTGGGAGGGGCCCTCTGATAGGAAGTTGGGCTGTATGTGTGTTTTGGGGGAGGGACTGGGAAATGAATGATTGGGCACCAGTTGTGACTTTATTTCCATTTAACCGAAGAATAATTATCTGGAATGGAGTCCAGTCTTGGCAGTCAGACCAGTCTTTTTGGGGAAGAGACCACGTTGTCCCCCATCAGATTGGGAATGCCTTTATAAATGGTGCCATGATTGATGGACTGGGAAATCGGTTTCCAAACTTGTCAGCCACAGAATCCTTTAAAATAATAACTACCGCAACCACAACCAATATTTATAAATTTCTTACCTTGTACCATGTGCTGTGGGTCAAATTCTTTTTTACGTGCACTATCTCACTAAATCTTCACAATAATCCTGTGAGGTTCCCATTTTACAGATGAGCAATCTAAGGCTCAGAGAAGTTGAGGGATTTTCCCAAGTCACACAGCTAGTTATTAACAGAGCAGGTTTGTGCTCCTAACTGCTCACTGTGCTGTCACTTCCTTTCCTTGGAAGGGATCTTACATAAAAGCCAAATATAAAAATAAATATATAAAAGCAGGGCAGGTCTGATTGAATGGAGTGGGAGGAAGAGTGCCCTGCTGGGTCAGCTTCCCCCTAGCACATAGGTGGGCTTTAATGCCCCTTCAAAGAGGCTCTGGAGCTCCCCAGGCTCACTTTGAAAACTAGAGTTCATTCTAACGGCAGGGTGGGGTGGGTGATTTAGTTCCTCCAGTGTCTTGTTCTGCCACCCACAGAGTCATGGTTTCTCTTGCCTAAGTCATAGAACAGAATTGGTAGTTTCAACATGTAATAGCTAAGTCCTTGGCTCTGCCCCTAGAATTCTCTATCAGTGTTCTTTTTTTAATAAACTGCTTGATTTATAGCAATAAAACAAATCATTTTGATTCCTTTTTTAAAATCCTATGGAAACAATGAAATACCAAAAAGATATCTGAATCTTGGGATAAGGCCCAGGACTTGGCAATTTTAACAAGCCCCACAGTGATTCTTTTATTTTTTTCCAAGAGATTCTAAAATGCACATTGAAATTTGAGAACCACTGGCACGGAGTTTAAGAACATGGGCTCTGGGATCAGAGAGATGTTGAATTCTGGCTTTGTTAGTTGCTTTGGGCAAATCTTTTAACTTTCTAAGCCTCAGTTTACTGTTCAGGGAATTCCATGGCGGTCCAGTGGTTAGGACTCTGCGCTTTCACTGCTGAGGGCCTGGGTTCAATCCCTGGTCGGGGAACTAAGATCCCGCAAGCCGCATGGCACGGCCAAAAAAAAAAAAGAAACTTCAGTTTACTCTTCTGTAAAATGGGACTAATAACAGAACCCTCCTCAGAGAGTAGTGGTCAGGCCACAGTGCCTGGAATACAACCCACGCTCAGTAAACTTTAGTCATTACTCTTATTTAAATCAACAACTTGAAGCAAATGATGATGGAAGAAAGTGATTCCCCTGGAGATCTGAGAGTAATGGCTGCCTCCCTGTGTCTTCTAGACCAACAACAGCCGTGCCCTTTATTCTCTGGAGGCGCAGCTTCTGCAGGTTCACCCTGACTATACCAATACTGGTTCCACAATGCTCAACTTCAGCTGCACGTACCCTCTGGTGGTAAATGTCAGCCAGACCCACCCCTACCCGGTGGTCTTCTTCCTGTGAGTTCTTTTCTGTCAGCTGCCTCTTGGGCTGGGCCCTGTGGAGGCTCTTGAGTTCCCACTGCTACCTATAATCCAGGCAAAAGGAGTCAACACCCTCAGGATGTTGCCCCGCCATGCCCACCCATCATAGGTACCTCTTAGATTGAGACTCGGAGTATTACTGGAAGAAAAAGATGTTCTGTGAAGTAATGCATTATGGGTTGTTTATGTAAATTACCTTGAGGTAGGATGGCTCAGATGGCTTCAAGGGTCCTGGGGTCTGGGGACCTGTGATGTGGCCCCTCATTTTTTAGGAGGTCCAGGAGGAAAGTTAGAAGTTTTGCTCCTTCCCTCCCCTAGTTCTCTATGGCTACCAGTGCTCAGTGACCTAGGGTGCAAGGCAGAATGCGAGTGATGCCCCTACCTCTAGGGTTTTGTGGTGAGGGTCTCATTCCCGTCCCTCTCCAGATATATCACTATCCGTATTATGGGCACTGGGAACACCATTGTCATCCTGGGCATCTTCACAGACCCTCAGCTCTCATCTCCACTTGAGAACAGACCAGTTTCCCTTGGCAAGCCTCTCTACGTGGTCCTCAGAGCCACAAGTGGTGGCCCAGACAGATTTGCCCTGGTGGCCAATGAGGTCTTTACCAGCACCAGCATC